AAACGACTCACGGACCGGTACCGGTCCGAGGCCCGGGGGTTGGGGACCGCTGCTATACACCATATATATAACTGTCCAAAAAATGAAGTACTCCAACTTGACATCTGTTGCTTCCTCTTTATGAGAACTTTTGCCTATCGTGGCTCAGGACATTCTGGCATAAGAGATTCTTGATTGAGAATTTCATTTCCTTTTGCCTAACTAAACTCAAAGACAGAATTTGTCTGCTTTAGTTGCGTTATCATTGACATTTTTTTTCCCAAAAAATATATATTATTAAGATTTTTGTATGTGTTTTTGACCTGTAATCTAAATAAGAGTTACTAATGTTCAGTAATCACATATTTAAAAGAGGAGATAATATATTATCCTTTGTTTATATGTTATTAATAGCAAAATGAGTATCCAGCTGGTTGGAAATCTGCACATACTGTATTTATACATTACATTAAACTGGTGATATCATGACTGTGTTTTACTGGGACTGCATTTTTTATGAGATGCCCTTTCTTTTAAAAGACCACTGGAAGTTTCTGGACATAAAAGAAGAAATAGACTTGAGATTGTTTATAATTAAGCAAGGCTTTAACTGCACTTCTCTTGCAGCAGGGGAAGGAGCTTAAAAGATGCTTTCTATAATGCGACTATACCGTAACACTTGAAAGATGTGTGACACACAGCTGGAATATTTCCTTCTCCTCCTCACTTCTGCTGCCCCCTGAACACGAAGGATGTTATGAGCATAAAAGAAAACATGCCGCAGTAGGAGAAACTATTTTCTCACCTTAAAACCAAGTGTTTACTATAAACCAGGTGTCTGAGGGGGTGTGAAAAAAATATTGTCTTTTATTTGTGCCTTTGGTTTCCTGTGATAAATGATGCAGCTTCCTTCTTCGAACCACTCATGTTGAATGGAGAAAGTTGCAACCTATAATCAGCATGTTCTGCACATCTCATTAATCAAATTAAATGTGCACAACCTGTATGTCTCCTTAGTGTCTCCTTATAGCTGCCCTGTTTTTGAAACACTTACTGTACTTCTTTAGCTATCTGAAAAACTGTTCATCCAAACCACTTCAAACTTGGCATTTTTATACAGCTGGGGCCATAGTAAGCTCAGCATTACACACTGCACAAACATCCATTCTCTCGTGTTTCTGGAGTCTAGCCTGGCTATCAAAGGACAGGAGGGTACACCCTGGTTGCAAATCGTTTTACTGTGGGAGGAAGCCGGAGTACCCAGAGAGAACCCATGCAAGCAGAGGGAGAACATGCAGAAAACATGGTTTAGTCAAACTCAAGGCCTTAACTTCATCATTGTGGCTGCAGCTCAGGAGGTAGAGCAGGTCACCTACTGATCAGGTTAGTGGTTTGATCCCTGGCTCCTCGTCTGCATGTCAGGTATCCTTGGGCAAGAAAAGATTGATCTTTTTTCACTAGTTTTGCTTTTGGCTAGGGGCAGTGTCACTACTGGTGAGACTGGAGATTACACAGGTAGTCCAACATCAATATGTGCCACTGGCAGAAGATTTCCTGAAGGAGATTCCAGGAGATAAGCAGCTACTCTACGAGGGCTGGACCGGGCCGTAGAAAACCCTTAACCATCAGAAGGACCAGTATCTGCTCCTTTGTGCAAGGACGAACAGGATGAGCACTACCATAACTACAAAGCAGGACACTAACGTGAATGGTTCTGACCAAACAATCAGAAACAAACTTCATGAGAGTGGCCTGAGGACTTAACGTCCTCTAGAGGGCCCTGTGCTCACTTCCCGGCACTGTGTTGCCAGACTGGATTTTGCCATAGAATACCAGAATTGGCAGGCCCACCACTGGCACCCTGTGCTTTTCACAGATGAGAGCAAGTTCACCCTGAGCACGTGACAGACGTCAAGGGGTCTGGAGAAGCAACATTCCTGATGCATGACAATGCCCAGCGTCATATGGCGAATAGGCAGTTCCTGGAGGATTAAAGAATTGATAACACTGACTGGACCCCACTAGCCTGACCTAAATCAACAGAGCACCTCTGGGACATTGTGTTTTGGTCCATTCTACACCGCCAGGTTGTGTCTCAGTCTCATCAGGAGCTCAGTGATGCCCTGGTCCAGATCTGGGAGGATATCCCCAGGACTAGGCATGGGAATTGATAAGAATTTTGCATATATTAGCTGTGCCTGTTCAAAACGTGACTGTGGAGGACTTGCAAACTCTAGGTTGCAGCTTTCTCAACATGAGTGAGTGACTAATATCATTTGTCACAGGAAACCAAAGAGAAAAAATAAAATATTTTTCACACCCCTTCAGACACCTGTTTAATGAACTTGTTGTTCAGGTTAGAGTTAGAATGAGGTTCAGGGTTTTGGTTTGACACTTACACTTAATTTAAAGCACACTGTGCAATCCCTGGCAAAGTGGAAAACTTCATTGTTTAGTTCTTTACACATGAAAGTTATTGCTTTTATAGTTGTTAAAGTATGCATCTCTGCAACATGCCATTAGACTTCTGGGAAGGTGGATGTTAGACTATGGCCTAGATTTAACATAGTTCTATAACTCAGGCTTTAGTTGCTGTGCTTAAACTGACATTTAAGCATTATGACGGCTAACATTAATCTACTTTCAGTAGATTCATATCTGTGAATGTCTTCTCAGAGATAGGGAGAGAGGTACACATGCATACAGATGTAGGCATGTATATGTATCTCGTAATAGAGAAAAGCTATTATGAGAGAGTCCTTGTAATAGCTTTTAGGACCCACTAATCCAAAGGATCCCAAGCTAATACTGTACTTCCTCAGACCCTGGCAGTACAAGTGCCAATTTCGAAGTGGATTGGAAGGACAGGTTTTGAGGTAGCGAAGAAGAAATGTTTCAAAAGATGGCAACTTTAGGGAGATACTAATGTAATGTACAGATTGTGCAGATTTGATTTGATTTAAAAAATGTGTAAATTGTAGGTTGCAGTCTTTACCATTCAAAAATGAGTGGTTCGTAGGAGAAAGCTGCATCATTGGTCACAGGAAACCAAAGAGAAATAAAAAAAACTATTTTTCACACCCCTTCAGACACCCAGTTAATGGTAAGGAGTTGGTTTTAAGGTGAGAGAATTAGTTTCAGGTCAAGGTATGGTTTGGTCAATTTATAGTGGTGCATACAATCTTTCCCATAGTGGGTGACATCAGTGTTTGCATTTATACTTGCAGTGGATCTGCGTCACAGAGCTGTGAAAGTGAGCTGAACGCGTCGGTCACATTACTTTCACTGACATACAGAGAAAAGATCTTAACTGACACTCAGTTCATATACATATTGTCAGAACTATGAAAA